GTTATGGCGGCGCGATGATTCCCCTACCCCCTACCCCCTGAGCTTGAGCCCTGCCCTTGAGCCAAAATGGCTACGGCTTGATGCTGTTGAGAAAAAGCCAGACTTATTGTGTGTGTGAACAAAGATCCAACAACGTGAAGGAGCTCAGGGGCCCGCGAAAACATGGACGACCGTGGAGGTGTTGGAATTCTGAAATGTATAGCGTTGCTCCGGAAGTGCTGCTTTCGATTTACCTTGGTCACTCCCACGTGCTGAATGGAAACAACGGTCGCCACTTTTTTTTTGGTGCTTGACACTTGGTACCATTCATGCCCATGTGTCACGGGGTAAGTGAGTCCCAGCAACATATAATATAAAACGGCGACAATCGCTGCCCAAAATAAACAAAAGCGCCAGGACGACCGGCGCATCGAAGTCGCCGCTGTCGACGCCACTTTGGTCTCGGCCTTGGGCTCAGCTGGCCAGCCCCGCCGCCAGCAGCGCAGCACTGAGGTGGGCGGGCGCTGGAACGACGGCGCGCATTTACTCCTGCATGACCTCGTCCGTCTCCGTGCCCAGAGCGCCCCGCCAGTCAACTTGGGCGCGCCGGTAGGTTGGTATGTTGGGGAAGGGGGCTGCTGTACTTGCCACACAACCCCGGAAGTCCGGGCCAATGTCCGGGCCGTCCTGCCCTGGCACTAGCCGCGTCTTCCGCCTGTTTGGGGGGCGTGGCTTGCAATCGGCAACTCGGTTAGTTACGGGTAGTTCCTGCGGCATATTGGGCTGCGCAATACGCGTAGCATTTGTCTGAAGATGGCGGCGACGGCTCGAAGCTTGGCGTGTGCCGCAAGGCCAGGACATTGCTGTTTACAGAAAAGTTGGGAGGAATGCATGACGTGGCCCAAAACCCGACGGTGCCCCCAACACGGACGGGCTTTCTTGCTGTTGGTCCAGAGGGCCGGGTGGTGCCCCGAGTCCCCCGGCTGTGGTTGGCACGCCATGCACACACTTCGGTACCTGGGTGGACCGTAGAAGTCGGCGCTGCTTGGACATGCTCGTGTACGGCAGTGCCGCGCCCGCCAATTGGGGCGATGCCGCGCCCCTCTTCAACTGCGCCCGTATGCGCCTGTCACGGTGTCCAAAAACGCATGGGCACGCTCCGGCGGCATGACGACGTACAGGTCGTCAACAAAGGTCAAAAACTTATCGTGGGGGTGCAGTGATGTTGCGAGTGCGCGCAAGGGAATGAACAGGCCCCAACGCAAAAATAACGCGGGAACCAATGGCTCGCAGCCTTCACGTGCGGTATCCCGTGGAGCTGGCGTGTCGAATCCCACCAGCATGATCCTCCTCCAGGTGCCAGCAATCCGGCCAAATCTGTTAGGTATCAAACTACGTTTTCATGCATTTTTCATTATCCATGGTCGTGTGCCCAACACCTTGCACAACGATTCGCCGGCGCTCATCACAAGCTACGTCAGCGCAGTTACGTGTTGGCCCATGATACTGCAGCCTGGCAGGCGCTTGTTGAGCAACGTGCGGTTTGCAGCGCGGTCTGTATGGCGCGGTGTTGGGCACCTGGACCATGCCAGTGCCATCTCTGTGGCAAGCATCGTAGAATTGGCGGATGCCGTGGTGTGCAACAGATTAGTGTGCCGAATGTGGCCGCCGTTTTTTTTGCGCGTGGCTAGTAGGGGAGGGGGGCATGGGGTCCTTGGGTGGGTGCATGTGGATGGTTGGTCATGGGCATCAGGGTGGGTGGGTGTCTTGTCATTGTTGATGATGAGAAATGGTCACTAATCTCGGGTGAAATCAGCGGTCAAGGGTATGAATAAGGTGGGTTGCTTGGGTCACTGTCCAGGGTGTTCGCGGTTTGCTGTCCGGGAGCTGTCCAGGGTATCGCGTTCATGGCAAAAATTTTGGTGTAGGTCCACGCCACTATCCATCACTATCCAATGTTCGCTTCAATGGTGGGTGTAGATGGTACATGTTGGAGTGCGTATAACGAGGGGTACATCAGATCAGAGCTTACAAAAGGTTATCGCTTTGAGGGGGGGAAGGGATACCTCAGGCCACAATATTTCGGCAGCAATTCTCAATGTTTGGAGACTGGGTCGGTTTCCCAGCGCACCTCTTCCAAATGCCTGTGTGACGTGCAAGGAGCATGTTGGCTTTGGTCCAGGTCGGGGTTAGTGTCCGAGGTCAGCGTCCGGGTGCCCGCGGTCAGTGTCCAGAGTTTTTTGGGGGTGTCCGTGTTTGGAGGTCCCAGAATGACCCTTTACCCATGGCCGCCATTTAGGTGAGGATGCTTATATGCACATGGCAACGGTAAGAACTTACACCCGAAATCCATGAACCCATGACATTCAACGTGTTCCACCCCTCATTTACCCCCAATGACTATGGTCAAGTTGTTTTTCAAGATTCTATATAACATTACGCCCAGAACAGGCTTTTGCCCTGTCCCGATCGGTGATCCTTGCATAACTTTCCTCAAGTAGGGTGTGGGCATTGTTTGAGCTTGAGTAGGCTTGGAGGGGACGCACGCGAGGTAGAAAGCCAAACAGATTCCATTAGGCCTCATTTTCCCAGCGGTCAATCAATCGACCGCGTGTGAGACACATTGGCGCGCTCGCCAAACATCATACACGTCTGGCAAGGCGTGTGATGCAACATCCGCACACTCGCTACGATTGTGAATGAGAACTGCGGCATGCCCAAATGGCGTGCCTCTCCTCCGAGCGGACCAAGCACGGATTCAGCTTCAATGAAATTCTGAATATCATGGCGAAGTTTGATTTTTTTCGGGGTGATGCCCGTCAATGCCCGTGAGACAAGCTATCGGGCGACATGTTTGCGGACAACTGCAAATTCACATGTTTCATGTTAGTTGAAGCTCGTTCCTTGCACCAACAGGTAACAGACCCAATTTTTTCCAAAAGTGTTTTTCAACATCAGCAGCACACGTGTGCAGACACAGTTTGTCGATAATCCGGCCAGCTTGCCAAAAAAACACAAACAACAGTCTTCCAAACTATGTCCACCATTCATTTGTTGAGGTACTTGATCCACCGCAATCGACTGCGAGCTGCACAGGGCGATTTGTATCGTACCTAATCTAACCAGACATGGGCTTCCAACTTGACTGAGTTTTTGGCAGTTGTAAATTGTAAAGTATGTTTGGTTGAATGTGAGGCTTGAAGCTGCTGCTGGATGCCCATTTCTCTTCCAAGTCTTCCCCGCTGAGAGCCTTCTGCCATGATCAAAGTGAAAACCACCGCATGTTGGGCAAGGTCTTGCAAAATTTCTCTTGTTTCCCAAGGACCTCGACCTGCGTATTTTGGAAAGGGTTGCCGACTTCTGCTTTGCACAAGGGCAGGCAGTAGCTTTTCTGGCGGGTTGGCGCAAGCCACTCCCCGACCCGAACCCTCAGATCTCGCATCTTGGTATTCACCCAGATGTCGTGCATACCAGTCAAGGCTTGTAAAGGTATTGTCAGTGTAACCCATTCCTTGGCCATGCTTTGCCGAGGTTCGTAGCACGCAAAAGACCTCTTCTTAAGTTTGAAGTGGCCGCTGGCGAATGGGACTGTGTTTCAGTTTCGAGGTGCGGATGTGTTGAAGATGGGGGGTTGTTCAACTGCTTGCGAGGCTGTGAGACGTGATGACCTTGTTGCAACAGGAGGGTTCATGTCTCATTGCCAGGCTCTTTGCAAGGGTCGTGTGCCATGACGGTCGATTGCACAGAACCGGTCGGCGTTTGGAGATGACACACAAGAAGTTCATCCTGGACCGGCTGGCTTAATTCGTGTGGATTCCGTCTAGGCCCTCAGGCGTTGCTATTGTACATCTGTGCTGCACTAACAAGTCAGGATCGTGTGTACGGCTCTGATGTTTCGGACGAGGAGTTCTACAATCAAGCAGCATCACGGGTTGTTGAGATCATTGGTTTGGTTGTGTTGTTGGTAACTCAAACCTGTGAAAATCATGCATTTGGAGGTGCCTTGTGATTCTCTGGAGTGACATGAATTCTGGTCATGCTGCTATGCATCCGAGCTGCAGGTACGGCCCTTGGTGAGATCGCTCAACGGCAATCAAGCTTCTTCGTCAAAATGTTGCACAATAATCAAGTTGCAGCGGCAGAGAGAGAAAATCAAGTTGCAGCATTCTGTGAAGAGTATTGTTCTCATCCTCCATAGCGTGTGCCGATACAAAAGCTGGGAGGCTACCATCATCTTTTACGGCCAGACGGGCACCGGGAAAACCCATACTTTCAACGCGTGCTGGGAGAGAATCGGGAATGATCTTGCTGGCCATTCAATTTCAGTCACTTTCTTCGAGGTCCTGGGAAAGAAGTGTGACCTGCTAGCATGCATTCGTACAGCCATGTACGCTGTGTCTCTTGGAGTTCTTGTATCACAACAGCCGCGTTGTGACCCATGTCCGAGTCATTTGCTCAAGGTTTTGATTTATTGCAACAGCGGAAGGAGGTGACACTGCGGTCAGACAGTGAAGAACGAGTGCATGTCAGGACTTCATTTTCCGTGTTTTTGTTATTGTTCTTTTCTGCAAAGCTTCTTGACACAATTTTTGCACAACATCAGGGGGGCTGCCACTCTCACGGCAGCTGCGTCAGAACTTCCGCAGTTGCTGGAAGAGGCGCTGAATCTTCGACGGTCAGAGGCGACCGAGAGAAACCCGTTGTCTTCTCGCAGCCATGTCACTGGTCAGGACAGGTGAAGTGTTTGCAGTTTCCTTGTTCCGCACACAGTTTCTGAGGCAATTTGTGTTCTGGAAATCGGCGATCTTGGGAGCATCCGCTTCGTGGATCTCGCCGGCTCAGAGCGCAATTACGAAACTCGTCATATGACTGCACAACAACATCGAGATTTCGCAGAGATCAACAAATCCCTGATGGCGCTGAAGGCGTGAGCTCTGCAGTATTGTTCCGACATGTTCCGACACTTGCCTCCTTGCTTGATGGTGGTCAACTGCTTTGTTTCTGTTACATTAGCCTTTGGCGTGTCGTGCCCATACTGTCACAATGACCTCTGACAGCATTTTTTCCAGAGGGAGGAGTCTTCAGCAATGCTCTTGGCAAGGGGTGTTGTGCCTCGTACTGTACATTGCACTATGAATGCTACAGGTGTTGATGATTTTGCTCAGCTTGCGCCCCTCGTTCGCCTCGACTTTCAAGAGGATCGAAGCTTATCATAATGGCCGCCAATATTGTAATTTTGGAGGATAGACAAAGCATGGGCGTTGGACATGCGCAAGAAAGAATTGTTGAGATTTTTCACCCCAGACATGTATTTGTAGTCCTGCTCCACTTGCTTGCATCAGAATACCAAGAATGTGCCAAAACTTAATGATGTACCTTGAGTCATTTTGGTCTGGATGCCGCCGTTTCTTTGACTGCTGTGCTGTGGCAGGACTGCTTCAGAGCACATGCGAAGCTTGCGCGTCAACGTTCAGCTCGACCACCATATCGTGCCAGTCGATTAACGCAGGCCGCATTGAGAGCTCAAGCATTTGGCATGCGAATTGGGCTCGCACCACTCATCACACACAGTGCGTTTAGCCTGCTTGCCTACGTTGTTGTGATGGTTGGTGTTTGTGCATGACACAAGACCCTAGGTCCTTCGGTCCTGCTTTACAGACTCGCACCACAGGACCCGCTTAGTGACCTAATTATTAGGGGATCGTCCAAAAACCTATGTTTAAAGATATATAAGCACGGGGACGCATGATGCAAAAACACTGCAGGCAAAAGCTCGCGAAAGGGCGGCG